TTTATCTAAACAGGAAACATCTCTAACTCATTATAACTTCCGTCGGGTGTTTAATTAAAGGAGAAATATTATGCAATACTTGCTTTTTGCATCCTTTTGTGCTGTCTTGTGAGTCTCTACTGCCTCTACAAACACTCCAAACGTGAAAATAATCGATCTATACATTTTCTGACGGTGTTCAGTTGAGGAAATATGTGCCTAAGACAAGCCGTTTCAAAAAGTCACATTTGTGATGTCACAAATGGGGCAAGTAGAAAAGAACCACCTCTCATGTGTGAGGGAGAGCTGCTGCTGGAGGAGCAGCGGCTCTACTCCGAGTCCCTCTAAGATATCAGAGCTTCTCAGCTTATAGCAGCCTGATCGGGTGACAAGGGGACATAGCCAGGTCCAGCTTGATTTCTTAAAGTGACAGAGCCCTGAAACAGCTCATTTTGTAAGGTTCAGAATCAGTCAAGAGTGGGAGGGCTTTAGTCCAAAGAACTTCATGAACATGTTTGTTATCGACCGTAGAATTATGAACTTAAGAGAAAAGGTACGCATGTAAGAAGAACATAGGAATATGTTTCCAGGTAAAACTTTGATAACTTTTAAATTATTTGATGCAACTATGATGGACAGTTTCAGGTTCTCACTTATTCCAAGTAGATGCAGGGTTGGATAAATGTCTTTGCTTTCCCAAGTTCAGTACATTCTGGCAGTGAGCTAAAGCTCAGAAAGGACTCCGAGTAGGTTTGGCTGATTTGATTAAGTAACATAAAGGAAAATAAATAAGTCAGCAGAAGGCACAGGATGGAATCGGAAATGAAATTATGATGATGCAACAGTCTGAACATGGACAAAGAAGACTACATAACATGAGAGTAAAGAAATGAGAGGTTTACAACCTGTTAAAAAGCTCAGTCTTGTACTGTTTTCAGCATTTTTTGAAAGCTGTGAGCTTTCATATTAACAATCAGCATCTTTACACTAAACAAAAAAAAAACATGATTTGTTTGAAGAAACCTCAGTTCTTCTCTTAGTTCTGTGAAAGTCCCATTCATTAAATGATAAATGATAAATGACTCGCACTTGTATAGCACCTCTCAGAGTAAGGACTCCAAAGCGCTTTACACGACAGTGTATCACTCATCCATTCATACACACATTCACACACTGATGGTGATGAGCTACGATGTAGCCACAGCAGCCCTGGGGCGCACTGACAGAGGCGAGGCTGCCGAGCACAGGCGCCACCGGTCCCTCCGACCACCACCAGCAGGCAAGGTGGGTTAAGTGTCTTGCCCAAGGACACACCAGCAGAATTCTCTGTCCGGAGCCGGGATCGAACCTGCAACCTTCCGATTACTGGACAACCCGCTCAACTTGTTCAGCTACTGCTGCCCCTCAATTCATTAGATATTCCACATTAGACTTGAGAGAAATATTGTCCTTGCGATATTTGTAAAACGACAAATTCAACAGATATTTGGTCTTTGGTCCACATGCAGACCCAGTTAAAGATGGGACAGTTGTGATTTGATGTCCAGTGCAGACTGCAGATCATAAAAGACAAGAACAAGAGACATGCCATTAAAGAACTGTGTCACCAACATAGAGCAGTACAATAGCATCAGCGATTGTCCCGCATTATCCATGTCAACTGTGTAGGGACCGAAACAGAGCCTTGAGGTGCACCTGGGAGAGAAACTGAGTGGTACAGATGGAATGACTAAAAAATTTACCGATAGCTTGGCCTAAAAGTCATAAGATGTCAAAGTCTATAGAGTCAAATTTGTTTGACACATCTAAAATAAAAAGCAGACTGATGGGGGAAAAAAACACCTTTAAATGCCGGAACTCTACTTGGTTAATTTTTCAACTTCCTTTGTTCAAATAGAGTTTAGAAACAGGTTGATAATTATTAGGGAAAAGTAAATGTATCATTTTAGTGAACTTTTGATTTGCAGTCTCTTGATGAGCCTGTGCCTACGAGTGAAACGTCCCATCTGGTGCAGCAGGGAGGCCTCAGCTCTGCCTTCAATACAAATCTACCTCGCAGTGGGAAGTTTAGACTGCTGTACTGGGTCTCCCACACTTCTCTTGCCTCAGGATGGAAGAGCCTCCTAACAGACCATAGCCAGATGGTCAGACTGAGGCCCTGTCCACACGTAGCCGGGGATCTGCCAAAACGTAGATATTTTTCTACGTTTTGGCCTGTCATCCACACAAAAACAGAGTTTTTTCACACAAAACGGATCTTTTTAAAAACTCCGGCCAAAGTGAAGATCTGCGTCTTCTCCGTTTTGGGAGTCTGCGTGTGGACGGACAAAACTGGAGTTTTAAGGTCCGTAACGTCACTTTCCGCGACAAAAAAATGCTGACATCACGTGTGCGACCTGTGTTTACACTAGCCGACAGCATGGATGCCCTCAGAGCTGCGCTCGCTTTATCAATTGTCCAAGCGCTTTTTGCTTGTTTGTTTTTGCAAGCGGAATTACTGCTCCTTGCGGAAGACCACAGATGAAGGACGAGGTTAAGAACGGGGGAAGTACTGCCACCTATAGGTCTGTCATGTCCTTAACAACGTATTTATCTGGGTACGTGAGGACAGAGTTTTTTTTTTAAACGAGGTGGTGTGGATGCAAGTTTTTGGAGGGGCGGATATTCGGTTTTAAAAAAACCCGGCTACGTGTGGACTAGGCCTGAGTCCTCACCTTTCCAGTGCACTCCCCACAGGTCTGCATACAAGACCTCCAAAGCAACAATATCATTACATTTAACAGTGGTGGGGCTTATTTCTTGGAGGAATGTGTCCACCTATATGGATGAGGTGGAACGGCTATCAAGAGAGGCGTAAAGATAACTGAAATGGTTTACAATGATGACCCAGATATTCAGCCACAACACAGGAGCAAGCATGAACTGAAAATAAGTTTATTTAAGCAGAAATAAGAGAATAAGAGGACACGCCAATCCTCCGGCAGCTCTGCACTCCTCTTCAGTCTGTGAACCGTAATCAGAAACAATGTAGAAATCCATTGTTGGTGAAGCAAGGCAGGAATTTTCCAGGAAATGTGAAGGCCCAGGTGAGACATGGAGGCCATCAGGCATGGCACAGATGGGCTGATAAAGGCTGATTGAGCGGAGGGTGTGCAGAAGGGTCCGGGGACCTGAGGGATCGAAACAGAAACTGAACAAAAATAAACATGACAGATGAAAGCATGCCCCCTGAACATAGTCAAAGCCAAGGAGGTCACTGTGGACTACAGCAGGAGACAAACATATCCAGCTACTTTTCATCAGAGCGGAGAAGGTCACACACTCTTATTTTCTGGGAGTTCACTTGACAGAGGAACCTGGGGGCGCAAACAATCCAGAGCTCGTTGAAGACCCAGTAAACTGTTATTTCCTAGGGATCTTCCGAAAAAGCAACGTCCCTCAGAGTCTGCTTGTGGCCTATCGATGCTCAGTATAGAGTAGCCTCACGTGCTGCCTCTGTGTGCGGTTTCCCAGCTCCACGGTGGCACAGATGAACGCCCTCCAGAGGTCATAAAGACAACCCCAAAAAACTATTCAGCTTTAACTTGAATAACTACACCCCCTCCCCTGGGCGTAACATGTTTGACCCACGACCAGGCAGAAGACTCAGAACCAATAGAAACACAACAAACAGATTAAATAAATGTTTTTGTAAGACTCCTGCTAGTACTTCTAGTGTTAAATGCTGTAGAATGTTGATTTTTTAATACAATTTAATGTAAAAATCTGATGAATGTTGTCATTATTGAGCTGCACTGTGCACACTTTTAATTTAATTTCATTTGAAAATCCTATTCATTGAGGGAGTGCACCTGAAATGTTGTTTTAAACTACAACAGTTTTTATGAATACATTCTTGTCATCCTCTAATCAGCCTCTAGCATTCATTCCAGGTGAGCGGTGTCTGAGTGGGACCAGCTGCAGCAGATTCATCATCAGCCACTGTTGGAGGAGGGAGACCACTGATCCATGCCGGTTGATTACTCCACACGGGTATCTCCAGTTGGATATTCTCCTGTCACTCATAGTCTAGTCTAGTCATTGATTACTCTGCCTGATGTTTGCTCCTTGTTTTTCTCAGATCCTGCTCAACTTCACACCTTCAGCCTTACTCCTGGACCTCTTCAGCCTGCATCTTCCTTCCCACAGTCCCGTTCATCACCGCTCATCCACCCCTGTCTGGAACCCTTATCTCGACCCCACTGGACACTTGAATCCTGCCACCTCAGATCTAACAGACCTCCCCACGTACTCCTCCCCACGTACTATCTCGCCAGCAGCACAGTATGACCTCCACTCCTCCATCTTCAAACCACCAGACCTCCTACCAATCCAGACTCTACTTGCAGGTCCAGTTCTGCCCCTCTTCCCTTGATCTCCCAATTTGGGATGTCCTTAGTTGTGCATCGTTTAATTTTACATTTGTCTCGTGCGTGGATTCTGCATGTCTTGAGTCAAGCACGTAAACCCCAACATGACTATTCTATTCAATCTGTATTTTTTTAAATCAGCTGTTCATCACAAACACTGAAGCCAGAATTAGACAGTTTAATCCCACCTTTAGGAAGCCATTTATCTGGGATGGTGGTCTCATGGTCTATCCCCCTAGCTTTAAATAAGACAGGACCTGGTAGACCTAACTCCATAGAAGGATCAATGAAGCAGTTAATTGTGAGACTGGTTATGCACCATTAAACTCAATTAGAATGTCACATAAAACAGTACTACTTCAATAGAAGCCTGCTCCATGTGTGGGTTAATGGTGTTATTACAGATCTTTTAAGTGGTGGTTCACATTTTTTTAACTTAATTGTGAATTTAATTTAAGGTGAGTGGAAATTACAAAATGTGAGATAAAAATAATTTAGTTACTGTTAATTGAAGTACTAAGTAATAAAATATATTGTCTGGGTTAAGCATCTTTATAAAGAAAAATATTTAAAAACTCCTAAAATGTGGGTTATCTCCACAGAGCAGCGTTGAAACGTTTGGCCTGTAGGGGTCGCTGTGACAAATCCAAGCCGCTCTTCAGCGTCTCTGTCAGCTCTTGGTGAACTCGTTGACTGTTTACAACATTGGAGGCGGATGCCGCTTGAATCTGTAAGTCTGGGTTGGTTTCTTGCTGTAAATTCCTTCACATAGTCGACCTGAAATGCTTTAAATAAGCCATGAAGCAACATATTTGCCGTTTAAGTCGGATTATGTTAGCTTTACGTCATGTCGAAATGCTAACACGTAGCTGCGTGGAGCCTGCGGATGAAAGTTTCCCAAACTTCCACTGGTTTCCTTTTTATGGGGTTTTAATAAAAAAAAAACTGTATAATTTTTAGCGGTACCTTTTGTTTACCTTTCAATGGAACAATAACAGACGTTCTAACATTAAACTAAATAAAATATCTATAATTATTTTTGTCATTTTCAACTAAACATTCAAATTTTGCAGAAAAAATAACGCAACAGACGATAAAGGAAACAAACAAAATATATAACTGATCTGAGATTTAGTGTGCCTTTTGATTTTTGAAATTTAGATGGATGCTTAATCTTTCCAGTGAATTAAAATAACTCGTTGGCACAATAAATGAAATATAAATATAAAGTAATCTAGCAAAAAATCAAGTTCATACAGAGTTGTTGGTGGTTCTATTCCCCACCTTAATGCGTTTTTATGTTGTGGGTAGCATCAGTAGTGTGCAGATGGAATTTTTAATTAAACATAAAAGTTCTTATATCAACAAGCAATTAATGTAAAATGTTTATTCAGTTTAAAGTGGTAAAAAGGAGGTGTTTTCAATCACCTGTACTCTATTGTATCATTAGGACAAAGTTCAAAGGTACTCTAGGAGCATTTTTATCAATAACAGAACACGTTGGCACAGTGGTACGGTAGAAAAGTAGTTATCACTCTTTCAGCTGGTAGCGTGTATTATGTAGGATTGTTTCCAGCTGTTTGATTAGCAGTTATTTGGAGTTTATGTACATTTTAAATGTTCATCTTTATTTCGAGAGTCTTTCCTTTATTTGTTTTAAAGCACCTTCTACAGTATAAACTTATCAACTGGCCAAGGTGCTCAACACAACCATAAAACTCACAATAGGAACTAATACAATACTATGTATTATTAAAAGAAAAAAACAAACTAAAAGCTATAAAAAACATTTAAAAAAAGGTTGAATAAAAACAGGAAACTAGCATAAAAGAGGTTTATGCCCCCACCCCGAAATCTGCTTTTGTATAAGAGTGCATTGATCACTAAACTCATCTGATACTGTGTGTGGAGGAGCTGCAAAACTGTGAGAATATAGAAGGAAAATACACATTATGATCTCAAATAATCTGGTAGGTTGAGGATTGTTGTAAAGACTCTTAACACCTATTCAGTGCAATCTGCTGGGTTCCTTATGTAGAAAACATTTTACTGTTTGTAAATTGAAATGCTTATTTTTGAATCCATTTAATCTGGATTCCATCTATGTATGTTTTTTCCCCCTTTAAAGGGACTTTACGGAGTTTTGAATTTTTATGCTCGCGATTGCCCCCTCAGGCCAAAAGCGTAACGACAGCTTCAATAGTAGGCTCGTGCACGAGGCGCGCCTGCTATACGTGCACACTCCTTAATGAAAATAACAGCTGCGACAGTCAGCTCTCTCTCTCTCTGTGTGTGTGTGTGTGTGTGTGTGTCAGTGTTGGGAGTAACGCAGTACAAACGTAATTAACTACTGTGATGCATGGCTTTTTGCTGTAATGTGGTAATGTAAGGCATTACAGGGAAAGAAAATGGTAATATTTACTCGGTACAATTGCCAGTAACGCGGTAATTACAACTCATTTTTAAACCCAGAATCAAGATGTGGGTTTCCTAAAAATTCCAATTATGGGAAGCCTGAAAAAAGATCCAGTATCCACATATATGACGTCATTTATGGACTCAGCTTTGCGGGAATTCTATGAGCAGAGAGGACGCAGCGTTAATGGCTCAAATACTCCAGCTGCGTCCTGCGCACGGCCGCTGTTAAATTCACAAAATCGCTCCACCAAAACAAAGTCATTCGTTTGCGATCATTTATATCCGCCCATATTCTCTGGTACTTCACGTAATTTTCAGCTGAGTTCATAATCTGTGCGCCGGCTATTTCAACTCATTGCTGCTGGAGCGCAGCGCAAAGCTTTTTTATTTATTTATTTTGTTTGCGTTCGGTAGATCCCTTTGGCTGATTAGTTAGAAAGTAGGAAATCTAGGAAACAGTTTTTCTGGAAGACGGAGAAAACATGCAGCATGCAGGAAGGTTAGAGAGAGAAAGGGCCGGAAATTATTCAAATAAAATCAAGAAAACAAAACAAAGTTCTTGAAAAGAAAAAAGTAGGTAGATTTATCCCCAATACACATTTTTACCGGTGAAAAGCAATAATATATAAGCATTTAATATTTATACATGTGATTGAATCAGATCACCCCAGAAGTCAGTCCCACATCCAGGGCCGTATCAAGGCATTTTGGGGACCAAGGCAAATATAGGCTTGGAGCCCCCACCACCTCACCCCTGCTCAAATGGCCCTATAAGATGGCAGCGTGCTGAGAGTACAGATTGTTGTTGCTTTTATTTAATAAACAATCATTTTAAAGCACTGTTATTATATCTGACTGTTTAACAGCAATCCTAGCTCAGACACCACATCACTTTCCACATATATGTCATGAGCTCACTGAGCGTCACATTACCAGATTCATATTGAAGTTGTTTTGGTGAAAGTAACTTCGAGTAATGCAAAAGTAGTGTAATGCCTTACATTTTAAAATCAGTAATATTGTAATGTAATTAATTGCTTTAAAATGAGGGTAACAAGTAATAAATAATGCATTACAGTTTTGAAGTAACTTGCCCAACACTGGTGTGTGTGTGTGTGTGTGTGTGTACCCGGTGGACAGAGGACAGGAGAACGTACAGCTAATTAATTAAATAATTTGGTTCTGTACCGTTCTCTTCAGCACAGCAGACAAAGGTTTATGATGGGTCAGTCCTCCTGCATGCTCAGATCATTCCCTTCCCTTGCTTGAAAAATTGTTCCAAAATGAAAGTTGAACCCACATCTTTTTTATCTGTGAATTCAATGCCGTTCGGCGAGTCTCAAATAAAAAATTTGGCATCTTCCTGTAAAAAAACATATCATTAATGTAAACAAGAAACTCTAAATAAACTATGTTCACATCCAGAATCGAACCCGGGTCTTCTGCACAAAAGTCCAACGTCTTACTAGGCGAACTAACACGCCAGTGACGTCACTTGTATCTGTACCATTTAAGAACGGTTCGGAGGGCTATGCCTGAGCGTGGACGCGCATGAAGCTCGGGTCGAGCAGCTCTTTTTTTCTGTGATTTTACAGAAAAATAGGCAATCACAGTAAAAATGCCAGGGCTCATTCTACAGGACCAGGGCATTGCAGGAGAATGTATGAAGAAGACATTTATTATTTCTATACATGTTTTGGCTGTCAAACTTCCATAATGTCCCTTTAAGGAATAATGTCAGATGTGTTTTTTCCTTCATACATGATCTGTCTTGTGAGTAATTGGTCAGTTTTTTGTATTTCTTCTGACCCGTTTGAGCCTTGTAGACATCTTTGCACCCACCTTGATGTAAAAAAATTGCAACCTGAGACTTTTAACACATTTTTTTCTGAGTGCATATCTCTTAGGGTGCCCACATCTTGGCATGGTTCTTTGTCTAGTTGAATTCAACATTGCCCACAACATAAAACATATAAAGATATTTTGGAAATGATGAAAAGGGTTTTTCATGAATACATGTTTGTGCCTCTTGGAAAACATGTTAGCACTACTCAAACCTCAACTATTCACAAAAGCTTACAGCGTGATCAGTTTATTCTCTAGTCCAGATGATGAACAATATCAGTTACAGAAAAATCAACTAAACAAATTTAGCTTGATTGAGTTTTGTTCCTGTTATTAGTGTTTCTCATCAGTTTTCTTTTCCCCACTTAGGATAAATTAGTGAATTCACAATATGATGAAAGAACTAGAACATAAAATTGCTTCATTTAAATGAAAGTAATAGAAATCACAACTCCTGCTCTTTTCTTCCTCAGTTGTTTGAAGACTGGCTATGGATAAAGAGTGGACACCTTTAGACTGCCTGCTGCCATCAGGTAAACGCCTTTGAAAACACTTTCAAATTTAAAACAATTTTAAATAAATAAATAAATAAATAAAAACCAAGATTTTTTTAAATTGAGGTGTGTATAGTCATTTTTTTGCACATTACAATTATTTTACAACTTCAATAGCTGTTAGGGCTGTCGCGGTTGAGGAATTCCCTCTGCGGTGATTCAGGGTGGCTTAATATTGCGGTGTGCGATATTATTGCAGCACTTTTTTATTGCAGTACTATCTAAACATAATGTTTACACATTTAAAAAAGGTTAAAAATTGCCGTGCCTTCTTTAATAACACTTTACTGAATGCAGATCAAAGGGCAGTAACAACGCAGATCGCAGTAACGCTTGTTTCTCCGACAGTCGGAGTCCGACTGAACTTAAAAACAACAAAATTCAGGAGGTTAAACTTTTAAATGCAAATTTGGCTGCAGCATCTAACAAATAAGAAACAAGTCCCCATTTTGTTTAGTTGTTTAAAATCAAGCATAAAAAATTACATGTACCGGGCGCGCGCGCGCGCGCCGGGGGGCGGGCGCACTATCATTTCACTTTCACACACACGAATGACGGTGATTTATAGCTCGGTCACGTCCTTGTTACCTACAAGGAAAACCAGCATGTTAACTACGGTTTGAGAGAGGATCTGAGAGGGGTGGCAACATTTGCAGCAACACTGAAAACCCTCTCGGATGGTGCGCTCGTTGCACTAACACACACGTACTTGCGTGCGACTCTGGCGAGCAAAGGGAATCTCTCCCGGTTGTTGCTCCACCATGTCACGGGGGTTTTCTTTAGGGTGGATGCATTCCTCCTGCAGGTAGCGAGTGAGCTCCAGCTCGGCTCAAACTCTCTTTGGGACGGTTGCAGAAGCAGTGCTTGTCCGGGACTTCAGCAGGTCTCCGAGCGTTTATTTATTTATTTATTTGCCGCTGGTGGCAGCTCTGTCTCGGCCAAGGACTCTGGCTGCGCAGCAGCTGACGTACTGAAAACCAAAGCGCTCCCACAGGAGCGAAGTAACGTTTCGTTTTGATACCAGTGCAGCCATCCTTCTCAACATGCATCATTGAGTTGAACCAAGTTCAGTAATCGCGGTGGCGCATGATGCAGCGCGGTGGGCTTCTTCATATCGCGATATTTCATTTTTGCGGTTACCGCGACAGCCCTAAATAGCTGTAACTATGTTATAAATGAATAACTTATTTATTCTCTGTTGGCTGGTTCTGCCATATTTAAAGCTCGCAATTAAAGGTATACTTTGCAACTTTTTTTTATATTTTAAAAGTATTTTCTTGAGCCAGTATGTGCTAAAATGACTTTTTACAGGATTAATGAAATGTCACTCAGACCCCTACTGCCTCTGTGGCCAGATACCGCACTTGCAACTTCAGAGTGTCGGTAATAACTTTTCCAGTTTGTGTTGGAGTTGGTACCAGCATCATATATGTGGGCATTTCTTAATCAGCAGTTTTAATAACAAAAGTATTAATGTAATCCACAAAAACGCAATGCATAAACAATTTATTCCAATTAAAGTTTTTTTGTTGGAACATTAATAAAGGTTTAGCTGTCGTCTTAAGCGGTAACCATGCAACATCATCAAAAAATGTAGTTGTCCAAAAAAAGATAAAATTCAAATAATTAGAAGTGTAATCAGTGTTGGATCATTAATAAAGTATTATTGTGTGTTTGGGCTTAGGTTTAAATTTAATAAGTGGTGTGCCAAAAGTGTACAGCAACAATTCAAGTTCAATTAAAGACAATTAAATCCCACAACCTTAGCCACTTTGGAGGTGGGTATGTTTATGCATTTATGTTATAGGCTAATAAAGGTTGGTCTAACCATTCATCCATTTATTAAAAGTTTAGGTTTCTGTAATTTGACCTTTGAAGGAATGGACAGGTACAGCTGATGGTATCCTTTTGGTGTCGGGCTCAGAGATGTTTCACGGCTTTTTCCACCTTTGGAATCTAATTAGATTATAATCTTAAGAGTTTAAGTTTAAGACAGCTATATGGTGGCACAGGAGTTAAGTGCTCGCCCCGTAATCTGAAGGTTGCAGGTTTGAGCCTCGCTCAGTCTGTCGCTGCCGTTGTGTCCTTGGGCAAGACACTTAACCCACCTTGCCTGCTGGTGGTGGTCGGAGGGGCCGGTGGCGCCTCTATCAGTGCGCCCCAGGGCAGCTGTGGCTACAATGTAGCTAATCACCACCAGAGTGTGTGTGTGTGTGTGTGTGTGTGTGTGTGTGTGTGTGTGTGTGTGTGTGTGTGTGTGTGTGTGTGTGTGTGTGTGTGTGTGTGTGTGTGTGTGTGTGCATGAATAACTGTGTTGTAAAGCACCTTGAGGGGGTTCCAGGACACTAGAAGGCATTAAATCAAAGCCAAAGTGAAAATTTCTCCCTTAAAGATTAGAAGTAAATAACTGTAGACGAAAATGAGTGAAACTCTTTGAAACCGTGATTTGATTGTCGAAATAAAACGTTTTATATCCACCCACCCCCCTTGCGATTTAGGTTATCTTCAGTTCAACACTAGATTTGGACATCTGAATATAATCTGATGCAGTTCATTAGTGGACATGCCCTCAACATATAAGCTCATTCGTGACCAAGTTTTGACGGTGCCTCAGACCTTCAACTGAATTTCTTATCGAAACTTAGGCGGGTTTTAGATAGAAACTCATCCTCTGCCCTTAAGACCTGCAGAGGAAGCTGCTATAGCTGCCTGACCAATGCTCTCAGTAGTGTGTGTGTGTGTGTGTGTGTGTGTGTGTGTGTGTGTGTGTGTGTGTGTGTGTGTGTGTGTGTGTGTGTGTGTGTGTGTGTGTGTATCATCGTTTGGCCTGTAAGGCAGACCGAAGACCTCGTAGTTTTCTCTTTTCCTTGTATTACACCTAGATTAGTTGTTTCTGTGTATTTTCATTTTCAAATCTATTTTTTAGAGTTCATTCTCGAGAGTTAGGCGGCATATCTTCCTGTCTCACAAGATTACATACAGCAGCGAAGAGATATTGCTATTGGTTTAACAGAAAATTAAATGATAGTGTGAAGTTTTCACACAGATCATTTCTCTTCCACAGAACTTTAAAATGACAGAGCTTAGAGTAAGAAAAAGAAAACATGCTATAGCCTCTTTAATCTCAGTACTGCCTGAGATAGTTATAAATGTTTATAAAACACACCAAGCATCTCTGCTGACAAGATGAGTTGAATCATTTCTCTATGATATGTTATGTATTCCTGTGGCCAGTATTGTGCAATAGCTTTTCAGCTTTTCTGAAAACATTTCAGAGTTTGACTGTTTGGTTGCTGTTTTTTATTAAATGTATTGCATCTTTATTTTCTTGTCGGTCCAACCATTGCACCTGATCATTCTCAGTTTGCTAAACGCCAGTCTGCTCTTCATTAAAGCCGTACACTACACCAATAACTGAGAAATAGGGCACACCGTGGCAACAAGACCTGCATTTTAAGATGGTTGAAGTGATTTATTTTGATGCGTTGGACATTGGCCAAGAATGGCATTTCAGTAGTCTGCCTTAAAGGCATTTGGCAGTTTTAGCTTGCCTTTAGCACCCCCTCGTGTCCATTTAGTAGAACTAAAAGCAAAACGTGTCTTCTCATTGTGCATTTGTCTTTTTACACCTTAATCTGAGGCCTAGTCCACACGTAGCCGGGGTTTTTTAAAAACGAATATCCGCCCCTCCAAAAACTTGCATCCACACCACCGCGTTTTAAAAACAAACTCTGTCCACACGTACCCGGATAAATACGTTGTTAAGGACATGCCAGACCTGTAGGCGGCAGTACTTCCCCCGTTCTTAACCTTGTCCTTCGTCTGTGGTCTTCCGCAAGGAGCAGTAATTCCGCTTGCAAAAACCAACAAGCAGAAAGCGCTTGGACAATTGATGGATCGGGTAGTGACAGAGCGCAGCTCTGAGGGCATCCATGCTGTCGGCTAGTGTAAACACAGGTCGCACACGTGATGTCAGCATTTTTTTGTCGCGGAAAGTGACGTTGCGGACCTTAAAACTCCGGTTTTCTCTGTCCACACGCAGACACCCAAAACGGAGAAAACGCAGATCTTCACTTTGGCCGGAGTTTTTAAAAAACTCCGTTTTCGTGTGAAAAAACTCCGTTTTCGTGTGAAAAAACTCCGTTTTCGTGTGGATGACAGGTCAAAACGTAGGAAAATATCTACGTTTTGGCAGATCCCCGGCTACGTGTGGACAGGGCCTGAGTACTGAAATGTCTCCTCAGCCCTCATTAGTTTCTGCAGGAGCAATTCATCACTAAAGCAAGTAAATCAGCTGTGCTCAGGATCTAAAACATGCTGGAAATGCGCTGGAAGCAGACTGCAGCACCAGGTATGTCAGCTCCATGTTTTCTAACCCCGGCTTTCCACGGGAGCCGTCAGCAGCACGTTACTGCTGCAGCACGTCATAGCTGCTGATAGGAACCGCTGTGGTCAACAGAACCTTTTCCACTGGAGCCGTCAGCAGCGCGAGTCGACCGCGTCTCAGGAGCAGCATGTCGCGGCCTTTACGCGCCGGTTCTATTTTCTACGCGCGACGCCTCTGAAACGGGTCAAGTTCGACATTTTTGGGGAAGGAAAGACAGGAAATCAGACGCGGAAATGGAGAGAAGCTCCCGAGATTTTCAGAATAAAGAAACACACTGCCTTCCGATTGCTTTACTTTTAAAAGAAGTTACTAACTGTGCGGCCCCGTGAGAAGTTATCACCTAGCTAGCGGTCTCCTTTGTTTTTCAGGTCCGTATTGGCGATTATAAAATGGACAGAACATAAAACACAAACCTTTTGGAGCAATGTTGTAGTTTTCTCCTGCTTGTTGTTGTGTTTACTGACGAAGTCACTCGTGTGACTTCGTGCTCGGTCGGTGACAGCTGCTCCCCTGCTGCTTCGCGTCTCGTGGGAAGGGCCAAGCAGCAGCTTACGCCAGCAAGATGTGCTGCTGCAGTAACGTGCTGCTGACG